ACTTACTGCCGGCAATGTGGACCAGACTCTGACACCGGTCGTACAAGGACCTGACAGCCCGTTTGGCAGAAATATTTGACTTAATTTGAGTCAAATTTTCAGACTAACAAGACAAATAATCTTACACATTCTGAAAACAAGATGATTATTCTTACACAATCAGTTCTTGTTTAGTAAATCAGTCTGAAAACAAGATCAAAAAGACTTTTTGGCTGATATAAGGTTTTAAAACTTGATTAGATGGACAGTTTTTGCAGTATAGATGTCATATGAAAAAGTTTGGGCAGCCTTAATTTTCCTGATTTACCTTTTATAAATTGATTGTTTGGATTAAAAATATCAGTTAAACATGTCATATAGAGGATAAACAGTGATATTTGAGAAGTGAATTGAAGTGTGTGTTTGTCCCCTATATGATGTATTTAACTGATATTTTTAATCCAAACAATGATTTATAAAGGTAAATCAGGAAAATTAACAAGACTGCCCCAAACTTTTTCTTATGACTATAGATAGATAAAAAATAAATATACAAGTGGGCAGTTATTTGTGAAACCCACAAACATTTATGGTTTTTGTCTTTTAGAATGCCAATGTTTGATGTAAATTTCTAAAACTGATGTTAAAACATTTTAAGCAACAGTTTTATAAAATGATCAGTAACTGAGCACAGTTTGGACCTAGTCCACACATGATAATGGCTTTATTTATTTAACAGCTAAATGCATTGTTTTAAAAGTTAACAAACTAGAAACAAACAGTCACCTACATGACCACCATCCTCCTCCTGGTCACGTTGTTCTCCAGACGTAGGTTCCAGTGAGGATGAGGATGATGATGATGATGATGATGATGATGCACCAGCAGAAAATAAACGTCAGTTTCTGACACTTTGCTGAATTTGCTTGTCGATGTTTTTTTCTTTTCTGTTTTTGTTCTCCTCCCTTACGTTTATTCTCCATTTATTTCTCTTTTTAATTATTCAGTTTCTTTTTCTTACTGCTTTTCCCTGTTCTTCAGCAAACTTTTCTTCTTCTGTCTTTGTTGGTGGTTGGTAAACAATGAATTGGTGCATTATCGCCATGTACTAGTATTGTGCAAAAGTACTTAACTTAATTATTTTCCTCGCTGCCTGCACCGGCCCAGTGATGCACCGGCCCACTGGGAAAAGTCCCGGTACTCCCAATGGCCAGTCCGCCCCTGGATAGATGGTCTTCTTTACATTATATAACTCTGTGTGTTTGTGTGTGTGTGTTCCAGGCTGACAGCCTTTGTGATGAAGTCATTTGCTGGTGCCAGTGCGTACATCTTTGTGGACCCTCAGACCATTAAAGATGCCAGGTCGTGGTTGGCTCAGCTCCAGAAGAGCAGCGGCTGTATCCGCTCTGTGGGCAAACTGTTCAGCAACGACATGCAGGTGTGTGTTTACCC